TATATTCATGGACAAATCTTTATTTTATTAAAATATTTCACTAAAAAATGATTTTCTTGTATGTGAAAGACTTATAATATTAACTGAAAGAATGCCAAATTTTGTGAAGACATACACACTATATTGAAAGTTAGAAGTATTAAATCTATAAAGACTTTAAACCAGTACAAAGAGGTCATGTGGTCAGTCAAATTGACCGAGCCCATGTTGAGAGATTTAAAAAGTCATGACTTGCACACTTAGACCTGCCCATAATAAGAGGGTTAATTTTCTATGTAGCTTGGTAACTGTAGACAGGTATAGTAATTCTCAAAAGAATTAGTAATACTAGTTATAATGGGTTTAGCTAATTTGCTGGAAACTTAAAATGGTATTAGTATGATTCAACTTAATTATAAGTCAAAATTTAATTCTTTGCAGCAAAAATAAAAATTACATCCTATCTGTTCTAAATTTTTAGTTCCAATTTTAATTCACAGATGAGGCTTTCGAATAACAGCTAAGTCTAACAGTTTGTCTCCACTGTTTTGGTCCCACTTCTTCAGACCTCTCTTACTATGATAAATATTAATATTTTCCTATAATGAAAATATATTTCCAATAGATACCTCTACTCACAAAACAGCTTTCCTTGATCTGTACTGCCCTCTATATGTACAAAAGATTCACCCACCATTAGCTTTTATACTAATCTCTACTGGTATAGCTGCTTTGTAGTATGCAAATAAGTATGCAACAGCCCTCTACCAATAGAAGTGCAACACGCACTCCTAGCACAGTGACTCACTCTATGCAGTATAATCCAATCTTAACTTTGAGATTAGGCACATAAAATACACCAGAAGTGTTAAGGAAGAGTGTGTTGATTTATGTATCTATCAGAAATATATTTTCAATGTAGGAAGATATTAACTTCTGATGTGATAAATTACTTCCTCTCAGAAAACAGCTATAATCCCATACTGACCTAGTAGAGGAACTGGTGCAAAGGTTACCTAGATGATCCTCCCCCAGAAAGCATTGGAAGAAGACACAAGGAGTGTGACATCTCAATGTAGAGGAAACATGCAGATTGGAGACTGCACAACATCTGAATCAGGGATACTCTTTAACCGAGATGAATGAATATGGTGAGAAATGTGCAGAAAATGAGGCACAAGTGAACAAGTGCAATTGGTTTAGAGAGGCTAGGGCACATTAGATCCTAAGCAGGGGATATACTCCAATCAAAAACCAGCAGCACCGAGATTGGATTAATTAGCCCATGGTAGGTGGAGGATCCTCTACCATTCATCTCAGACCCAGGAAGGGACATCCAGACAATGGTAGGAAGGTGTAAATGCAACATGGCCGTTCAATTACAGTCCAAAGCCATGTGACATGAGAATGTATTGTCCAGTTCATTGTAGAAGGAGGGTCCCTGCCCACTCACATATGAGGACTTATACTGACTGATCCAGCTCCAACCAATACCAGTCACCCTGGACCTGACACCCAGGTAGTGGTAGGAAGAGGGTTCCCAGTCAGAGGGGTAAACTGCATTAACAAATGTGACAGAAAAATCCAGTCCACACTGTAAGGCATCTGGAATCATATATCAAATTTGCAGTAGGAGGATAGTCACACCATTCACACTGGCAGAACACCAATGTCCTACTCTAAACTGAGTGGTATTGAGCACACTCAGGAGGAACTCTCCATGGTCCACCATCCAAACAGCTAGCAGTTGGTAAGGACTTCCATAGTCTAGTAGAAAAAGGGAGGAATTCAGTAGAGAGTATGGAGGAATACATCAACAGAGAAAGTGAAATGGGTAACCATGAACCTTATGCTAAAAAGCAGACCAAACCCAATTTGTACAATCAAGATAAGGCAGGGAAAAACAGCATTCCTCTTCTGCTTTAGTCATGTTAGTTCATGAGTGTACAGTCCCGGACAAACATTTTTATGAAGCAAAACACCACGATGAGCCTACAAGTGGTCTTGTAGAACACCCCACCTAAACAGTGAGCAATAATGACAGAATGTCGCACAGTGCAGATTTAAGAGTTAGTGTATCTGGACAAGCACTACTTGCCACGAAGCAGGATCCAAAAAATAAGCACAAAGGAGGCTTTTGTATTATGAAATAAAGAAGGAAAGCGATATTTACCTGCTCAAAGATGAACCAATGATTAAAGGATGGCAACAGGAGGGAGACGATATCTGGCTGATAAGGAAATTTCAAAACGATGCAGATAAGGTGACACGAAAGAATGAGGTGTGGTTCACATTCTGGCCTTCATAATATCCTCCAAAGTACGATAAAGAAGAGCAGCCAAAGACAATTTGAGGTGATGAATCTGATGAGTGGAGACACAGAAAAGGCAACAGGAGTCAGAAGACAAGGAGGAATAAGCTATACAGATGAGTGGCCAAACCCAACCAGTAAGGGTAACAGGAGAAAGGTCATGGGAAACAGAAGGAATCCAGTGTATAAACAAACAGGAACCATAGACAGAAGCCACATAAGCTACATAACACTGCAGAACCCCGACCAGACACAGGAGATGATCAGAATTAGAATGGGAATATATATATGTGAAACAAAAGGGAAATAGGAGTGAAGGCAACATTACGTTGACATACACTGGAGTTTCTTGGTAGGAAGGTAAGAACAAGATAAAGGAGAACATGTATTAAGTGGTAAAGGATGTGAGAAACATCAATGGTGAACACATACAACCTTAGACATTCACAAACCAAGAGGAGGAGGAAAAAAGTTTTCAAGGATAGACGATATATGGAATAGGAATCCAAAGGTTCAAACAGAGATAGAGAAAAAGCATGTAAGACAATATTAAAATCCCAATCCAGGAAGGGAGTAGGTCATGGAGGACAATGGAGACAAAAAGAATGAAACAGGAGAGGAAAAAAACATGGCAGAATTGGGAAAACAAAGGGTAGATGATAACACGGCTTTATAACCAACAATGGTCGAAACAGAAAGACCAGGTAAACAAATTCGGGTAGGTGAAGGACAGAAAAAGAGGAAGGGATAAATCACTAATGAATAGACTAATGGCAAAAAATACACCACTTACATTTGTACAAGGACAATGAAGATGCACAGATGGAGTGGGAAAGAAGGGATGTTACCTGGGTGGAAAGTCTGGAACCTCAAGCAAGGGAAGAGACAAAATCTAAGCGTGAAGCTGGAGGATGGGAATGGACAGATGAAGCATTGCAAAATAAGGTTGATGGATAAGGGAAAGGGATAGAGGAAGAGGTAATGGTGGTGATAACTGAAGAGGGAGAAGAATAGGGTACCAAGGTTGAGCTGGCCAGAATGCAGACCTAGAAGGTCTCAACAATGAGTGGTTTGGATAATGGAAAGAACCCTGGGAAAAACAGATGGAGGATAGGCATAAATATAGAGGTCTGTTAAATCCTGACTGAGGGCATCTATCATCAAAGCCAAAGGATGAGGAACAGGAGACCAAAATAGAGGGAGTTTGGTAATCAGATGGGTGGCAAACAAGTTCAGCCATGGAGTACCCAACCAAGAGCATAGCAAAACCTGAGGACTGAGGGACTACTCCATGGGGAGAACCTTGTCAAGACAAGATAATTAATCCATAACAAGATTGAGACCGCCTGGGATATAACATGCCAGCAAATGAATGTGATAGCTGCAGGCCCAGAACAGCATTTCCAATGTGTGAAGACACAGTGACCTCAACTGGATGCCCCCTTGCAAAGTGATGCAAGAGATAACAGTTAAGTATTCAGAGTGGATTATCACTGTTTTGACCCTAAAAACTGGTAAGTAGTTATCACTTACCCGACAAACAGCCAGAAGTTCCAGAATATTGATGTCAAAACTTGACTCGACTGAAGGCCAAAAGCCAGAAACTATTGGGTATTGCAGTACACACACCCTTCCCCCATCCCAACAAGGAAACACCCATAAAAAGATGCACCTCTGGTTGTAAAGGAGGAAGACGGATACTAGATGTTGTGTTGTCCTTGTCCAGCTACCAGGCAAAATTCGTCTGAAGAGAATGAGGGAAGGATACCTAGGAATCCAGGATCCACTGAAGAGATTGCATATGGGCACAGTCAAGAAGAATAAGAGCCTCCAAAGAAGCCCAAGTCCCCAAAAGAGAAAAAAAAAAACCCTTGCACAGGAAGGAAAGGGTAAAAATTACACCTTCTGAATCATAAGCTTCATGGAACACGGTAAGAGGAAAAAGGCTGAACCCACCTGAGATGGGAGTTCAAGGTATTATGTCAGTGTGAGAGCAGACTTCTCCACCTTGACCAGCCAACCTACCCATCCAGCTCCTTAAGAAGAAACTGTGTGTTGATGGAAAAGGCCAAAAGTAAAGGATCTAGAAGTAGCCAGTCATCCATATGAATGAAGAAGTTGGGTGAAGGCTTTGACTACCTGACAAAACAACATAGGGAGGCGAGGACAGCGCAAAAGGAAGAGCTCAAAAATTATATTTATGTTCCCTGTGGAGAAAGCAGAGATAATGATTGGATGCTGGGGAAATGGGAATATGGAGATAAGCATCTGACATATCATATTTCATCATCCAAAGACCTGGAGTAAAAGCCCATCAAAGAGACAGGAAAGACTCCACAGTGAACCGAGGAACTTCCATAAAGTGGTTCAGATGATTGAGATTGATAATAGAAAACAATCCTTGTTTATCTAGGACTACAAAAATATGGGAATATAAACCAGGAAGAGTAGGAACTACTGGTTCTATAGCACCCTAGAGTAGATGATTCTGAACCACATCAGAAAGATACTGGCTGGACAGAGGATCCTAAGGAAGGGGAAAGAAGGATAGGGTAAAGGAAATGAAGGGAGAGTCCTTCTGATATGAAGAACCCAAAGATCAGCGGTAAATGATTCCTAGACATTCGCAAACAGCAGCAATCTGGCACCTACTGGACTCAATCCAACATAACAGTCACCTATACCGTTGGCGGTGTGCAGGTCGGCGGGGAACAATAGTACACTATGAAAGCATTACCTGTGAGGAAGGAAGAGGTAAGGGAAATGAAGGAGGTGGCTGTGACACAGGAACAAGAGCAGGGAAAAGTTATGATAAATGAGAGACTAAAGAGGAAAGTATGTAAATGAGCAGATTTTAATCTCAACTCCAAAGAATCAGGAAGACCTCCAAAAAAAAGGGTCATGCATAAATCATGCATAGAGGTAGGGGAAAGGTCCACATGAGTTAAAAGCCTCAACAACAAAAGAGCCAGGTGTGGAAAGAGCCAAAGAGGACAAGTATGCCAACATGGAGAAGAGGAGGGTACCGGCATCAGCTGAAAACCTCTCAAGGAAGGAAACAGTGGATAGCCTTAGACACAAGATGTATGGAAGAAAGATAATGAAGAAGAGATGTCAATGTCAGGTGAAGGTGGGAAAACTGTGCCTGTGAAAAATGCACATAAATGTAGGGGTCTGATCCCCCAAATAGGGAGGAGTGAATCTGAATGTTGAGCATCCAGAATAAGATATGCCGAATGATGGTAAGCAAAAGCACCAGCCTCTGCTATGCATTGGGAACACAGCATGCTGACTCCTGAATACAATTGTTGGGCAAAATGCTCATTGTGGACACAAATGTCAGGTGATGGAGGAAGAACAGATAAATCACTGGTAGGTGCTTCTGTCAAAAGGGATGGGTACAGGTCATATGACATGGGAGACAAAAACAAAACAGAACATACCTGTGTAACTAACTCCAGAAACAGAAAGGAAGGTTGTGTCATGTCCACGGTCTGAGAACAAGACTGCATGGCAAAGGAAGGGGAGGAAAAAGGTTGTCCAAATCCTTATCATCCTGTTCCTGCTTCCCCTAGAAAGGGAGAATTGTTTGATGGACAAGAGACCTCTCAGTTGGCATGAAGGAAGACATCTTGCATTGCACAAGGGCCCAAATATCTTCAGCCAATAAAGTCAGGCCTGAAGCCATCATGTTAGGTTGTTGGTCACTAATTGTGTCTGAAGCTGTAGTAGTAGTAGTGAGGTGGAACTGTGAATTCATAATAAGTCATTCACAGAAATTATTCAAAATGAAATTCATTTGAAGTACACAAAAAAAATTCCAAGTTGTTTGTCAAATCTAAGCAAAAAAGATTTTCAAGTCAAAAATCATTTTTCAAATCAAAAAGAATTAATGAAGAAATTTTTGAAATTGAAAAAACATTGTACACCAAATCAAATAACAAAAACAACTATGTGTGAGATGAGTGATCAATGTCGTGCCAAATCGAGGAGTGAAGATTGGGTTCTACTGCATAGAAGGAGTCAGCTTTGCAAGGAGGGTGTGTCACACTCCTATTGGTTGAAGGTTGTTGCATGCTTATTTGAATTCTTCAATGCAGGTATACCATGTGTATAACAGGTGAAGATTAGTGGGAGTACAAAGGCTAGTGGCAGGTGAACATTTTGCTCATATAGAGGACAGTACAAATCGAGGAAATTTGTTTTGTAAGAGAAGGTAAGTTTTCACATTGGAATTTACTCCTCTCACAGTGTAGTATAAATCCATGTTTTAAGTGTATATTCTTTAGGAGTAACATTTTTTTGCATTTTGACCAAGTTGTCTGAAATGTATTAAAATACTGTCAGAGGTAAAACAAGTTTTAATACTCTCCTCTTTCCTTAATGTGTTAAAATGACTTAAATATTGTGTTATACACACACACACACATATATATATATATATATATATATCAAATCCATCCACATTTAAGCTTTCAAAATATTTCAGGCATTTACCAATGATATTGCCTAGTGCCCACACTGCTTGCTCACAAACATTTTGATGAGGTGATTTCAAAAGCTCTAGGAATAATGGAACTGCCCCTATATAAAGAAAAACAAATTCATATTTCTTTTCTAAGTGAGCTAATATTTTTCTTATGCATGAAGTTTGTTCTATCAAACAGCATCACTTAAAATATAATTTTACTACTTAAATACTAATTTCCAGAGTCTTGAACAACTTTCAGAGTGACATATTTTTCAAACAAATTAATAAATGACAGTTGGATACAATAACAGCCTTATGTGTAAACGTTAATGACATCACTTACTGTAATGAATATTTTTCTATAATTATTAAGCTGGACAACTTTTTATATAACCTAAACAAAAAACAAAAAAACATGTAAACAAGATAAACAAATTGAGAATGTGTACTGTAAAATTTACTGTTCTATATTTATAGCATGTATTAGAAGATAATTAATTAAAAACGAACTACTTATGCCTAAAAACACACAAACCTGCACTAACAACTGCTTGTGTCTGTTGTGAAGTCCCTGATGCTATGTTGGTTAAAGCCCAAGCTGCTTCAAATTGAAGGGAAGGACTGTGAAGCATACAATACACAAGTTGCTAATTTCCTGAAGAGTAATCTCAAAATAAAGTTTCAAATATTCATCAAAAAATATAATTTATAAATATAATTCTCTACTAAGTAATTTCCAAAACTTACAAAAACAACCTTTAACACAAATTAAAATTTGATGATAAGGAACCCAGTTTTTATAAAAGTTTGGAGAGAGCTTGAATGTCTATATAAACTACTTGTACCTGACGATTACAGTTTTATTGAAATGTTGTACATTTATAATAAAATTTTCTTCATTACCCATTCAAGCCATCTCCAAACTTTTATAAAAAGTGGGTTCCTTTTCTAGGTTAATACAGTAGTTTACCAAAATTTTAGTTTCACATGTTGAATACAGATACGAACAAAAACAATATAGCTTTAAAAGTTATTTCTAATACTTTAGACTTATGTAGGTCTGATCTCAAATATAATACTGAATTTACAATATTTTGTATATATTGTAATATCCAATGGCATATGCATATGAGGAGAATCTTTATGAAGATCGACTTTCACTCAAACCTCAAGTATGTAGATACTTGTGTGATCTTCAAATGTCCATTACTACATCTACTTAAGCAAGCAGTATGGATTACTTCTAGATTAAATTATTCAATATTATTATAAATGTACATACATACAAATTTACCAATACTTAATCAGAAATATCTCATTGTATCATCTTTTACATCCATACAAAATAAAATAGTGCAGTTGTTTCTCTTTTTTCTCTACTGTTTTCATTAATCACATGATTAAGAATAAAGCCAGTAGCTAAACCAACAAGTACTGCTAGGCTACATCATTCAAATTTTATGATCATATGCAAGGTGTCTCCACACCAGCTTAACACTAAATGGCCACACAGCATCACATCATACACACTGCTTTTATGAGGTCACTATAGTTCATTATTTTACTCTTGAAGAATGCAAGTGTCAAGAAAGAAAGAATATCTGTAAAAGCACCAGATTAGTATAAACCTTAATAGAAATTTTCATAATTATCCATCTTCAACCAGCATTACACTTCTAGTTACTAAGTCAACTTGTACCACAAACTAATACACAAGACAGAATTGAAATAACATACAAGGGGGAAGTGCATGAGCATAACTATTTAGTGTTAAGCACAATAGTCTGAAAATAGTAGTCACTTGACTTACAGCACATCTACTATAAAATTTCTATTAACATAAGAGCACAGAAAAACATACGGAGATAACAATGGTTTAGGTACAGACTTAAACAAGTGTATTGATGCCTCTCTCTGCCACAAAGGCAAAAAAATAAGGAGTTTGTATTAGTACATACAGAAAACGAAATCTAACAGAAATTTATATATGAAAGATACTAACTTAAAGTTTCTGTTACCAAAAAGTTAAGTATGACTCACAAGAACAAAAAGTCTGAAGAACAGAAGGGTAATACTTAGCAAATGAAAAACTATAATGCCAATGATCTAGGGAAAGTGTCCTTTGCAAATTATCCATTCCTTACCTTCTTGAATTGAGAACCCATTTTAGGAATGATAATTCTTGTAACAGAACATTTATCATCCTTTCTAAGATCTAAAACAGTATTCTTGATGAAGTAAGTGAAGATAAAATGGGCAACAACTGCCTAGATCATAAAATTTGAAGACATTTCAATAGATCTTCCTGCTTTTGATTTCTTCAAATATTTATAGACATATTAATCAAGAATGTGACAGACCTGCAAACAAATAGAACTTCAACGTTTGTAATATAAATTCAATAATAAACAAGATTTAATAATTATTGAAACTCTGGCCATCAAGAAACTCATATCAAAGTTTACATTTAACTAACACCCACTATAAAGCAATTGTGAGAAAAATATCTCACTCAGCAGCAGCAGTTTACCTAACAGTAAAAGAAGTTCCTTATTAACAACTAGGTCTACTACCAGGTCTTATGTGTGTTCTAATTTTAGATTTGATATCATAATTAGGATATGTTATATTAGAGGACTACAGTACGAAAATACTTTAACGCTAGCTTCACTTGAAACAAAAGTGGTAAATATGCAGATATTTTTCAAAGCATTTCTCTCTCTGTTAGCATAAAGTTGTAGCATAAAGTATATGTCTATGTAGAGGCAGATTAGGGTGGGAGCTATTGAGGCTGAAGTCGAAAGCCCAAGTACAAAAAAAACCCAACTACGCTATCGAATTACATTACCCACGAGTTGCTTGCATGCATGCTTTGTGAACAATTTTAATTATATTATTATTATTATTATTACTTATTTTACCTATTCTAGTTTTAAATAACTTAAAAAGATCAGTACTTTTAATTTTACTCACTTTTATAATAATAAATATGAAAAACAAGAAATAAAGTACTTACCCAATCTTTTTTCTTGCCATCGATTGTCGTGGAGAATTAAGCCTGATTTTTTTTAGCAATTATAGTAAAGCACTTAATTTTTATTTAATTAAATAATACCCCAAAGAATGTAGACTAATAACATGCAAAAAGTAGACAAATTCACTTCTAAAAATGTGACAAGAGCTGTTACAAATTCATCCAAGCTAGTTCTTAACTTTCCCACGGGAACGATGTTGTTACTCAGAGTGAAATTGACTGTTATCTGTTCAGAACACAATGTTATACAATACGCCATTTGATAGTTGAAAACCTTGACTTTCTTTTGGTTATAGGTAATATATAATGAAACGTAAGAGAGAACTATCAACCAATTGTGAAAGAGAGGGTGTGATAAGTGGGTGTGGCAGGAGGGGTCTGATTTTCTCTTTGATAGCTCTGTGATCAAATAATATTGAAAGTTATAAAAATTATGGTCTGTTTGAGCAATAACAATTTTATAGAGAGCATTTTACAAGAGGTGATGGATAAAATAGGGATGTGATAAGTGGGTGTGGCAGGAGGGGTCTGATTTTCTCTTTGATAGCTCTGTGACCAAATAATATTGAAAGCTATAAAAATTATGGTCTGTTTGAGCAATAACAATTTTATAGAGAGCATTTTACAAGAGGTGATGCATAAAATAGGGATGATGACATGCTAAGACAAAATGTGTCATGTGAGTTACACTAGCGGAAATTCAGGA